TTGTCTTCTGGAGAATCTGATTTCGCGGCTATGCTTTTGAGCTCGTCGACATCAGGGACAGCCGAGGGTTCTTGCTGGTTCAGCTTCTTAGGCGGCATGATGTAGTTTCTTTTTTTCAATCGTTCAGGTGTATTAGGTCGATCAGGAAGTTCCAAGCGAACTTTCTTCGTGTGTGAGAGGACACCATGGTGGTACGCAGGGTTTCCTTTGGGGGCCTTTGTCGTATCCTTGGAGGTGCAAGTTCCCGTTATGACGTCATTCGTGAACGACTCCGCTCGTCTTAAAACCTGGAAGACTGGCAGGACAACGCGCTCCGAGGAAACGTTAATTTGTCAAACATGAAGGTCAAGATTTAGATTTCAAACGTAGTGAATTTATGACTAGGATTTGCTCGCTAGTCGAGCGGAACGGTTGTTATCTACCATGGTCGATGATACTTAAGTCATGACCCACTGAGGGCCGTTGAAAATGGTACCCCTTATTCCCAGCTTAGGGTCCAGCTTCCCTGCCAAGCTCCCCCACTAGTCAAGTCGTTCAAGCCTGACAGCTTTAGGACGCTGCTAGTAGAGTTGTAACTCACTTTGCTTGCATCGATTGTCTCGCCGTTCAACTTGACCTGTCCAACTGCTGGAGCACCCAGAATGGTCACATTAGCAAGCGCGTTCGTGTCCTTGAACTCGCCCTCAACATTGACCTTCAGCTGTCCAGTCATAGCAGCAAACGTAACGTCCAGGCACGACTCTGGCTCTAGAGACTCGCCGTCATCAACATACAAGTTACCAGAAGCAGTGCCATCTGTTGAGAGCGCAACGATGAGACCCCATGGGTTGTTGCGGGACTCGGTCGTTGTGTAACCGGGTTCTTGGATCGGAAGGACTGAGCCACCGCGAACGTACACAGGGATATGACCCAAAGGAGCAGAGATGGTGGTGTTGACGCCAGCCTCCGCCTCGACGCGTTCACCAGAGTACCAGTCGAACCAGCTTTCGCCGTCGACGATACCAGGGAATACTCCATTGACGGTGTCGACCTGAGGCTCAAGGACAGGAGTGATCAGGATGTTAGGACCCAGCATGAACTGTGTGTCAACACCTGCGAGCTGAGGCTCATTGGGGAACTCCCACGCTAGCGCACGCATGACAGTAGAGCCAGTAGTGTGGGCGTCATTGAAGAGGGTGTACATGTAGGGCAGTAAGGAGTATCGGATGTGCATAGCTGTCCTGGATGCAGAAGCCACTGCCTCCCAGCGGTAGGGTTCCTGGGGAATGGCAGAGAGCACGTTGTGGTTGCGGTAGAAGGGGAAGAAAGCAGAAAGTTGCATCCAGCGAGCGCAAAGCTCCATGTCGGTGTTGCCGTTGAATCCGCAGGTGTCAACACCAAACATGGGGATACCGAAAAGCGAGAACGACAGAGCTTGGGGAATTGAAAAGAACATATAAGCCCACTTTGATGCATTATCACCACCCCAGTGGCCGGCCCACTTGCCGCTACCAGCAAAGGTAGAACGTCCGATGATGAAGGGCCGCTTGCCAGGGAAGACTTGAAGAAGACCCTGGTAGGTGGCGTTGATGATCTGGTGACCGAAAAGGTTGTGGACATCGTACTCTTCAACGCCATTCTGATGCGTCGCATTGGGACTGACCGCGTGGACAGCAAGATCAGCTCCGGCTTGGACATGGTTGATGACGTATGGAGGGTAGTTGACGTTGCGCACACCAGGTGTAGGCGTTGATCGGAAGTAGCTGGTGGTTGTAGCAGCCGTCTCCGTAGGTGCTGTTGGTGCGGCCTGGCTTGATGCGCCAGCTGAAGCCGAAGCGGCCTCAGTTGCATTAGTGATGTTAAAGCCTTCTGGATAATCGAAAACGACGTTGCCAACCTCGCCAGGGAGAGAAAAGGGTGGGTGGGCAGGGTTCAAGGTAACGTTCCCGGAACCGCAGGAACCGACGCAGAATGAGGAGACTTCAGTCATGTCCACCCAGAAGCCGCTAAATGGCACTTCCTTGTACCATTCAACCATCTCCTTGACCCACCACGCTACACCATTGGAAGACAGCCAGTCTGGGAAGACAGTGTATCCAGGCCATACAGCGCCGATGTATTGACTACCATCGGGGTTCCTCAGGAACACATCGGAATCATTTCCGCGAGCGTAGGTGTCGTAAGCATCACTGGCGTTCAATGGGTTTGGAATATAGATGGCAGCGTCCACAATGGGTACGAAGTGCTGGTTGTTTCCATGAAGGAAGTCAAAGAATTCTTTGACACCAGAGGGAGGGAATGACACGGGATCAAGCGTGAAATCTCGGTACTGGTCCATGTAGTCAATGTCAAGCCAAATCGTTTCTGCTCATAGTCAGTAAAGAAACACATGTATCACGTCAATTAAGGACCAACTTACCCATGGGGATATTAAAGGCCTTCATAGTCTCAACAATTTCTCTCGTCTCCGTCCAGTTACGGTATCCCCATCGACATTGATGGAAACCTAATGTCCAGTACTGTTGCATGGCAGGCAGTCCAATCGCTGACTTCTGGTACTCCTTGGTCACTTCTGGTTGGGAAGGTCCATCGAAGAAGAACAGATCAATTGCACCTCCCAATGTTCTCCATGAAAGATGGTCAGGCTTCATAACGACATCCATGCCGTGCGTGTTGCGGTAGTAAACACCATGAGAGCGCGACTCATACGCCGAACCGGTGGGTTTGCTGTCATAGCCAAGGCTGGGCTGCTGAAGCTCAGACTGCTTCAAGGGAGTCTTGCTGCCATTCCCGCCCTTCTCGAAGTAGCGGGTTTCTAGGTAGAAGGGATGACTACCGTACAAGTTGCGGTCGATTGGGTCACCCACATCAGCAGCATAGATGGTTGCGGTGAAGTTGTTGTTCAGGCGAAGGCCATGGATACGTTCTCCTAGACCGTAGAGGTTGTAGTCCTCAGGTAGGCTGTTCACGAACTCGATAAACTGGTTCTCATAAATGAGCTTTGTGCCCTGAGTAGTGAAGATGATGTCTCCAGTAGAGCGACGGCCAACATTGAACCAGAAAGATGGTTCGTTACCCCCTTGCATATGTGTTAGTCGAGCTCTCTCGTTATCCAGGCGAGAACGTGCTAAGACACTCAGGGCTTCAAATTGTTTACTTACAGTCAAACTTGAGGTCTGTGCCCTCAGAAGAGTCTTCGGCTTGCGGCCGTGGAATAAGATCCTCGGGTACAATCCATTGGGATTGATTGCTAGCGTCAAGATGCTTTGGTACAATACTGACAGCCAGCCTTCCCTTAGATTGGTACTCAACCTTCAGGTCTAGCTCTTCAATATCTGTGCCGTAGACGTTGCAAGCAGCTCCAGCCAGTGTCAAGGTGGCGCTCAGCCCGCGATCACCCTGTTCGAGACCGGATGCCTTGTATCCTGGGCAGACATCCTGCGCGTTGACAGCTTCCGGATCGTAGATGTTAGGGATCTGGTCAACGCCCTGATCAGCCGAGGCAGGGAGAGTGAAGACGGAGCGAAACGAGGTAGGGGTTCCAGCGAGTGTGGTGCTCCAACCGCCGTCAGACGAACTGATAGGTGTCTGACCAGATGTTAACGCCAGAAAAGAGGAGAGTAGCGTTGAAGCTTGAAGAAAGCTTGAGCGCGACATGATGGTTGTGCTGAACCAGTCGAGTGCTGCCTGGACATCCCCGGGCATCCATTGCGACTTGGACCTTTTATAGCTTTCTGCGGTGCTGTCAGCGGCACCTGCATTTGGCGCCATTTTCGTTGATGGTCGGTTGTGCGATTCCCCGCAGCGAAGTAGCCCTCGATGACGCTGAACAGCAGGAAGGGCAGCTAGCAAGAAGGCTGGGCGTATTCATGCACCATGCGTAAGCGAGAGTCGTGCGGGGGATGATCATGGGGAATCGTGCCGACATTGAGCGAATAGGAACATGCGGGCTCATGTAGTTCCCACCGACATGTGGGGATGGTGAAGACGAAGGCGCACTTCCAGATTCGAAGCTTCGGGGCTTGAAGCTTGTGGTAGCCCGTAGTGCATAGAAGAAGCGACTTACTTGGTTCTTGAGATCTTCCATGCGCCATGCGATAAACACGGTGACGGCGAGCTGAGGGAACAAGATTCATTGAAACATGCTCGAGATTAGAGATTAGAGTGGCAATGTAGGTAATATGGAATTCCTTGTCTTTGTCAATCGTAGGTAACACGAACATGTCTTAAGGAACCCATCGCGTTTGCTTCAACGAGTAGACACACGCATGCAGTAGGCGCCACAGGTCAGAGTTCTCTTTCACATCTTGGTCCCGGCTGCATGTCACCTGGGTCTTGCTCCGCCGACTAGAACAGTTACAATACTCAATGGACGCATCGCGGAATGTCTCTCGGACTAGCTACATCTCCGTGTCACGACATAGCGGGCTCAACGTTTTGTAGCCGCATGTCAAGACAGTGGGGTAGATTTGCGGATCTCCCCACAAGCACGGCACGGTCACGGAGAAAGCTTGAACGGCACAGCTACCAAGCAGAATGATGCGTTGCTTTCCTCGTATTTGTTTTGATTTGGTTGTTTTACATTACGTTAGGGTATTAAAGTACAAGAATGCTCAGTGTCTCTGCGACATTGCATCCGCTCTGCAGTTATAATCCGTAGTATGGTATATCCACCTCTGCTCGTAATGCCATCATGAGCTGCCGCATGCGCGATTTCACGGCCTCGCGTGTAGTCCTAGCGCGTTCCCGCGCTCTTCCCGTGCGTCGGAGTACCACCTTGGTCGTGCACGCCCTCGTTGGTCCAAAGTCGGGACCGGAAGCGGAAGGGTCGGCGTGGTACAACATCGCGCGCACTGCGATCCTTCCTCAGGGCCTCGCCCCGAGCAAAATTTAATGAAAGTAATGTCCTGCAGCACACGGCCTGCATGAATAAAAGTACAAAAGGTGAGCGACCGCCCATGGCTCTGTATTTGAAATGATGGTCGGCTCTTCGTCTTCTAAGATTAGGTGGCTTGTATAGCTCAAGTTAAAGGCGAGTAGCTTGTCGGTCTGCTGTCCTCGCTGGGCCGATGGTAAGTTTTGTATTCGGCATACTCGTCGCCCTCTTCAGCAAGATAGAGTCCATCATCTGGTAGCCAGCTTCGGGAATCGTGCGTAGCACGGGTCATGGTGCTCTGTGTAGAGGCCCGTGCTGAGCTTCGAAGCGGTGCTGTTGGTGGTATAGGTGGTGATTGTCGCGACGGCGGTGTATAAACAGTTGGTGATAAACGAAAATTGGGGCTCGTGGGACTGGGTAAGGCCGCTGAGCTTGGGTGCAAAAGCAAACCTGAAGCAGCAGGAGGTGCAGCAGGTGAAAGTGGTGCTGGAATAAGACTCGAGTCCAGATTGGCCAGGTCGGCGGGCTTGGTCTTCTTTGGAGAAAGAGATAGTGGTTTAGGGAATGTGGATTGTGTTGGTGTACGTGCAGGGTTACGCGAAGGCAGCGTTGGTGTCGCCGGCTCGCCATTTGGCTGATCGCCTATGATGTCTTGGTACCAGTCGTAGGAACGGAAGCTGAAGCTTGGACTTGGAGGCGGCAGGTCAGGCAATGGTAGTTGCGGGGCCTTGCTCTCCAGTCTAGAAAGAGTCTCGACAATGGGAGATGGGGGTTCTGAATCACACCCCTTTGAGCTGTTGTCGTCGGCTATCGAGACGGTATCCGCAGAGTTCCTTCGGTTCGGAAACTGGCTCAATTCATACTCGGAGTTTCGCTTCTCCGTGGTCGGCGTTGGCTGCGAGATGATGACTGGCGGAGGTTTCGCAGTAGGAGGGATGTATTCCTCGAACTTATATTGCGGCTTACGATCACGAGGCGTACCACTACTGCGGGGAGTATCGTTACCTCGAAGTGAACTGACAGCGTTGATCATCTCATCGTCGAAAATCATGCTCTTGTTGATGTTGACGTTGACGGCATATCGCTTCGGTTCCGTGGGCGGAGGTGGAAGAGGATTTGACATCAGCGGATGAGGTGTCGGGCGAGGTGGCAGTGCTTTCTCCGTTGAGATGCGCGACTTCTTATCCAATGAATCCGATCTCTTGCTGCCCGCTTTCTCCTTTGTGTCGTTAAACGCAAGAGCTCTGGCGAAAAGCTCCGGGGCCATGGTTTGTTGTTGACTGAAGGCTGCGTTCTGGGGGCTGTTTGGTAATGAGGCTACCAGTGTTCTTTGATCTGTTGCATTCGTCGCACACCTTCGAAGATCGTTTGAGGGCTCTTCAATGGTTTGAGGCCGTGGCCGTCTTGCTCGAATCCTCCAGAACCAGTAACCGAGCGCTACCATCAGTACGACCAATCCCACAACTCCTACGCCGATACCGATAGCTGAGCCTGGTGTCAGTTGCGAAGTTGGCTCTGGACCCGATCCGCCAAGCGGTGCAGCACCGTTCATAGCAACGCATCTTGAGCTCGAACACGTTTGGTCCTTTGTGCAGTTGCTATCTGTAGAGCATGTTTCGCTGACCCCAACACTTGTGTCGATAAGACTTGGCTGATCGATTGAGTTGGTTGCGCTGGGGACAGGATTGGTCTCAAGTTGAATAAAAGAGAAGTCTGATGCTAAGTTGGTAGGTAGTGCGGTTGGTGACGACGAAGCTACACGTAAGGAGGTGGGAGTTGCGGATGGCTTTCGCTGTGTGGTAGAAGTTGTGGACGCTCGTTGCGACGAAGTGGATGTGGCGTGCGTTCTTCGCGATGAAGTAGAAGTAGTGATTTCTCGTTGTCGACGGCTAGTAATGAGTGTGGTAGACATTATTATTAAAGATAGTGTCGGAGCTGGATATACTGTTAAGGAAGGAATGGACGACGCCGCGCCGATGTCTCAGCCACTTCGTCAAGATGCGCAAGGCTTCTTTAAGTGGTACTCGAGAATCTCCGAAAAGAAAGCATGTAGAACGAATGTAGTGTGTGTGAGTGAAGAGTAAGTGTTCACGAAGTCACGAAGATCCACGATCGACAGAGTCCTTGCGACACAGCATCGCCATGCAGGGCGGCGAGGGTTAGACCATATCTTGTAGGGTCCAGTAGAAGAGCTAAAGTTTATTGACCATGCGCGCACGGCGCGGTCGATCCACGTTCGGTTGGAGGTTTGACGATCCTTAGTGCGCAACCCAACGTCGCAGCCGTCAAACCTTGTCCCCAAAATATTGCTTTTGCCGAGACAGATGACAGTAAACAGGGAGACAATAAAGGCATCTCATGATGGCAGACTACATTTTCGCATGAATTGAGGGGATTCAGACAAGCAGTACTCACTACAGTACAACACCTATCTCTATTTCCCCTTTTGACCAGCATTGCCGAATGCGGCAGCCGTAAAAGCACCGTAGGTCCCGAGTCATGAAGTTCGCGGGTGCGCCTCCAAATGTGGTACCAACTCGTTTCAGGGGCACGGAAATGGTACCTGCATATACTATTTTCTGCCTGCGAGCCACTCCACTACGTCTTTTGCGTTACTATCGGGAGGGAAGACAGGGTACCAGATTTTGATGATGATTCCATCTTTTACAGCCAGCGCACATCTCTTAATCAGTGTCTGGTTCTTCCAGGTGAAGGTGGGTAACTTGAGGGCATTAGCAAATTGTAGGTTCTCGTCCGAAAGCAGTTCGTAGGGTAGATGCAGCCGGTCTTTGGCCTCTTTCTGGTATGCAGTGTCCTGAGTCGACAATCCAAATACATGCTTTACGCCGAGGTCGCGCAGTTGGGCCATCTCATCGCGGAAGCTGCACGCCTGAGGTGTACAGCCTCGTGCTCCTGGTATGGAGTTCCAATCTTCTGTGATTGTTTCACCAGGTGCGCCAGTACGCGGATAGCAGAAGAGGATAGTCAGGCCTGAACAGGTTGCAACATCTAGCTGGTCGTCGGCAGTCGACGCCAAGCATACCGATGGTATCTGTGACCCTTTCAAATGCGAGCACGCTCCGTCATCCTGGGGGATGGGTAAGTTCAAAGGGAAGGTTGTGTCTGTGCTGGTCAGCGCTCAGTCTCGCGAGTATCTGTGCCACTAACGAGCCATGATAACAGCCGGCCGTCGGTACCGAAGTAACGTCGAGTTACTTTGGCCTGGCTGGTGCGCTACCTCCAACGTGCGCTTCGGTCGCCGTCAAGTTGGTGCTGAAGGGACTGTCTACAAGCTGGTAGAGAATTGACCCCAATGCCTTGGATTCGACCTTCCACCAGCGGGGTCCGCAATGACTTTTCAACTCAATCGACGATCCAGTGCATAAAAACAGATCAAAGACAAGAATAGTGTCACATTCTTGATTCAGAGTTGTTTGTTTGCTTTACTGTCTGATGTGGTTATGTGGTGGTGTTCTCGGCAATGGCAGATGGTGACTGGTGGTGAAGAGAGTCGGGTGGCGGGGTGCGGCTTGAAAAGCATGAAGATAGGTTCAGGGCTAATGCAGTATATTACTTTGCTGTCGAACTACTGTTTGGTACTGCACTAGGAGCCGCGGGGTAAGAAGCTAGCACGTAAACGTTGGCAAATTCCAGTGTCTGCGTATGTTTGCTTTACGATCTGCCAGCCTCGCCTGTGCTTAGGTGATGTTTGGTAGGTGGCGGGCACGCGGAAGAGCGTGTACCACCCACGAGACCCTTCTTTCCCTTCTTTCCCTGCTTTCCACGTCATGAGCTTACACGACACTGAGAAGTTGTTGCTCCCGTCAAATTGGAGGACAAAGTTTTTATGTTGCAAAAGAAGTGTTCGGTCCCTGGACTGGAGTCATCAGCAGCGATACAGCCACGGAGAACATCGCAGCCTTGTCTCGTGGCCTCAATTGCTTCTTACATATCATTTCGCTTATTTGATGCAAGACTTTTCCATTCCTCGGCCTTTGCCTTCGAACTACTCTTATTGAGGCATATTTCCACAGGAGAATGCTGCAATGAGTTAAGCTTCCTGTCTTATGATTATCACCATGCCAACTGCTCACATAGCGATGCATTCTGAGCTCCACAGCTACTCTGCAAGCCGAGGTTGACGAGCCAAAGTCCATGACCGTCACAACACCGCTCGCCTTGCTGAGATTGAAGAACTCGCACGGACGGTAAGCTCACTCGGGTAGTTGCTCATGCTTTGCGACCTACTCTCATCGGATCGATAACAAGCTAAGCTCATGCTGCTTCTGTCGATGATTGCGAGTCCTTAATGGTGTAGCAACGCGGTGATTATATTGACTTGATTACCCAGACGTTCATACATCCCGGATGCCAGCGAAATATGCCGTGCTCGCGGTGGATAATGTAGTGATGCCGACTGAAGTGGGGTGGAGATCGGCGCTACAACAGCTGGAGCTCCTGCACGTCCAATCGTGACATCATCAAATGTCAGTAATGCACCCCTCATTATTGGCTAACTGGCAGCTGTCGCGCTCATAGACAACTCCTTCACTTCTCACCTCTCTTTGCACACATTAATGCAGTCACTACGAATTCTTCGACCTTTACGAACCTCACTCAAGCTTCAATTCAGTCCAACCAGTCGCCTACAAAGAGCCCCATTTACATCAACAACCGCAGTTATGGCTCAAGAGTTCAAGCTAAAGGATGTCACTTCCTTACAAATGAAGAATGGAGAGAAGAAAGAGGTTGAAGTCGAGGGCGTTGAGGGAGGAAAGGTCCTTCTTTTGAAGGTACAGGATCAAGTTCATGCCACAAGTTCAAACTGCACACATTACGGAGCTCCTTTGGTGAAGGGTGTATTAACACCAGAGGGTCGTTTGACATGCCCATGGCACGGAGGTAAATTTCAATTTTGTGCACGCTGTGCCACTGAAACTAACTTTTGCAGCCTGCTTCAAGGTCTCGACCGGAGATGTTGAAGACGCACCCGCGCTCGATCCCATTGCGAAATACGAAGTAATCGAAAAGGACGGGGCCGTATACGTCAAGACCACAGAGGAAGCATTGAAGAACAACAGGAAGTTTTTGAACATAAAGTGCTCGTCTGTGAGTGAGGACAAGGTGCTGGTCATTGGAGGTGGTTCGGGCACCCTTGGTGCTATTGAAGGTCTCCGAGGCGGTGGGTACAATGGCAAGATCACCGTTATCTCTAAAGAAGGCTACCAGCCTATCGACCGAACCAAGTTATCAAAGGCACTGTTGGCCGACATCTCAAAGGCGGCATGGAGATCGAAGGAATTCTACAAGGATGCGTCGATTGACATCATTGAAGACGAGGCTAAGAGCGTAGACTTCTCAAGCAAGAAGGTCTCAACCAAGTCCGGAAAGGACTACGAATACTCCAAGCTGGTGTTGGCCACTGGTGGTACACCAAGATGGTTGCCACTCGACGGTTTGAAGGGTGATCTGGGCAATGTCTTCCTCCTTCGCACCCTACCCGACGCACAGAACATCCTCAAGGCTGTTGGTGAAAACGGCAAGAAGGTCGTGGTGGTTGGTAGCTCGTTCATCGGCATGGAGGTTGGAAACTGCCTCGCCGGCATGAAGAACGATGTCACCATCATTGGTATGGAGGAGGGTAAGTCGCGCGTTCCTCCTTAATTTGTGTCCAAACTGATCAGGCTGCAGAACCAATGGAGCGCGTAATGGGCAAGAAGGTCGGCGCAATCTTCCGCGGTCTTCTCGAGAAGAACGGCGTCAAGTTCAAGATGGGCGCCAGCGTTGAGAAGGCCACACCGTCAAAGAGCGATTCTTCCAAGGTCGGTGCCGTTCATCTCAAGGATGGAACCACACTTGAGGCCGATCTCGTTATTGAAGGTGTTGGTGTTGCTCCTGCGACTGAGTACCTCAAGGACAACTCAAGTGTTACGCTTGAGAAAGATGGATCTTTGAAGACGAACGATTCTTTTGAAGTCAACGGTCTGAAGGATGTCTATGCTATTGGTGACATCGCAACATACCCCTACCATGGTCCGGGAGGCGACGGCACACCAGTCCGGATAGAACACTGGAACGTCGCACAAAACGCCGGCCGCTCAGTGGCCAATACCATCAACACTCCCGGATCCAAAGCCAAGCCCTTTATCCCTGTCTTCTGGTCTGCATTGGGTTCGCAGCTGCGATACTGCGGCAACACGGTCAACGGCTACGACGACGTGGTTCTGCAAGGCGAGCCGGAGAAGCCGTCATTTGTCGCATACTACACCAAGGGCGAGACTGTTGTTGCCGTAGCGAGTATGATGAAAGATCCATACATGACCCAAGCAGCAGAGCTTATGCGCAGGAACAAGATGCCTGGCAAGAGTGAGCTGCAAAAGGGTGTTGACATCCTAGAGGTTGGTCTCCCGAACGAGATCAAGATCTAATGAGATCTGGCTATATATGGATACTCCTAGTGGATTGCCCGCTTAATAAAGTTTTAATGAAGAGATGTCATCAGAGGTTTCAAGACTTTGGTGCTAGTGATCTGGAAGCATGTTTCTGGTCCGTCGCCTTCCCGTCCAACGTGATTCTAGTGACATTCGTTTGTTCGTTTGTCGCTTTCCAACCACATCGTATCCTGTCACTTCCGTCGCTTCCGCATCACAACCTCCCTCACTGGCAGCCTTGGAAGCGGTAGTTTCTCAACATTGTCTTGACATATAACTCAAGCGGATAATGACTTGGAAGGTTACAATCGAGAGCTTACAACGAAATGTGATCAAACTCAAAGCGATGTAAGAAGATCTGGTTATGCCCAACGCGAACAGCGGATCCATGCTACCGGGAGCCGACCGTTGCAATCTGGAGAAATGCTCCGCAAGATGGGCCGTAGGGCGGTGGAAAGGAGATGAAGCTTTTCGCGAGCATTTCCGCAATGTGACGTCAAGGTCGGGCAGTGGGGGCTCGTATTGCCAGCGCGAGGGCCAGCGAGAGCATCTGGAGATGGCGCAAGAGTCGAGTAACGGTGCTAGCGGGAAGGTGGGTCCGCTGGTCGCACGGCAAGGGCGATCGAGGCACCAACGTGTAATCTCCGAAGACTGGCCTAACGCTGGCTCGATGGGGAAAATTGTACAGAGCAGACGGCGCAAGTTGGGTTTGTGGAAAAGTCTATCTAGCCTCACCCTGAGAGGTACAGTAGGCAATGCATCCTAAGACTGGAAACGGGCGAGGTGCAGTTGTGACAGCGACTTTTGATTGGACGTGCTGCCGAGGAATGCAGAGACATGCAGGGCACGCCTTCCTTCCAGCGTGGGCGGCTGAGACTGTGACAGCGGTTCTCCGTACCGTGTGGTCGCGAACTTGTACCTTTGTTGCTACATGCGTGGATGTCCTTGCTGTGCATGTCAGATGGAGGCAGGGGCGCGTCATAACCGTCAGCACCAAAGCGGATTTGAGTTTCAAGATTGTTGTTGATGTTTACCATGTTGCTTTTGCTGGACGCGTCGCTACGGCGGCCGGCCGGCCACGCGTGAGACACAGTGATCAGACTGATGGTGCGGGTGAATGGGTGAAAGACACGGGATGATCAGAATGGATCATGCATGTGCGTGAGATGAAGCGACATTCAAGGAGCCCGACAGATCTATATCGAGGACCTGCCCAAGTTGAAGCACCTGAGCACATGGCGGGCGAGCGCATAACAGGCAATTTACGCGTGCCGGGTCGGTGCTGTATGAAACAGCGACCCATGCCTGCTACTCCTATTCGAGAAGAGGCATCCAAGATAGGCGCGTTGCGAGAGCGAGGACAGCGCCTGCGTGAGGGCGTCAGTCGGGACCGTAATGTTGGAGCTGGCGCCAGGACAGCCTGGCTCACTGTAGTTGGGTGCAATTTGACGACCATGTGGATAGCACGTCGTTAACCTAGCATCGCATCTAGCAGACCAGAGTCATTGCTTTGGCGGGCTGGTTTATGCCGAGCCCATGTCGATGATGTGCATCTGCCTCCTTTCCCAAGCCACAGCCTTTACCGAAATTACCGTCAAGACCAACCTCAGCCGCGCTTTCTCTTCTCTCCACTCACGTCAATCAACACGTCCAAGTCGAGCTGCACATCGCCGCGACCGTTAGATAGCCGAACGCGCTGTCACCGGGAGGTAGCAGAGTTGCCTTGTTCAAGACGGCCGACCTTCGTGCACTCCACCACTGCACGTTCGCTGCCCACGCGCATGTGAAGGGGTTTGCTGCTCGCCGCCATCGCGCCAGGAATCCTTCGTGTTCCCTTCTGACCGCGCCCAAGACGCCAGCGTAATCGAGTCTTGTCGCGCTCTGCCCACGTCCACGCCCACGCCCACGCCGGCCCCAATTGCAAGACGTTCAAACACACCGCACCGCGAAAAGCTCCGATTAGGCCAGTTGCGCCCACCTGCAGCTGTCTGGAGATTCGGCGGGAACTAGGAGCACCTCACCTCCCCGCCATCGCCCATTCGACAGCTCAACACCGCCAGTTGAGGTTCGCCCACAAATACTGCCAGCGCAGCTTAGGACCGATAACATAGTCTACCAGCCCGTTCGCCGTGCTGCTGCAAATACTCCTGCACGTCGCATCTCCATATAATTATGGCCGCAGTGGCATCGCAGCCGCCGCACGGTCAGCAGCAGTACTATCAACAAACACAGCAGTCCTCGCCCGCCGCAGCTTCGCCCGGTAACTCTCGCCGACCGACCTCGCGACGACCCAGTAATGGCGCGTCCCCGAACACGCCTCCTCAGATGAACAACACGACCGCCACCACCAACGGCAGCGGTCCCATGGCGCCGCCCAGGACTTCGTCGCACCGCACCCCCAACTCTGCATCCTCTTCATCACAGCCCAGCCGGGCACGCGAAGAGTCACGCCGGCGAGAAAAGGACAGCCCCAGCTCACGACCGCCAGCCAGCTCGAGCAGAGCCCAGCCAGGCCACAGTCGCTCAGCCACGGCCATTGGCCAGACGCCTGTAGGAACCAGCTTGCCTCGCGAGGAGAGCGCCGTCATAAACCGCATCGTCGTCTCCGACACCCAAGATGACATCGCCCGCGCACAAGCACGCCAAGGCGACGGCCCTCCCGTGACCTCTGGCGCAGATCTTACTCCCATCACGGGACTCAGTCTGGTCGGCAGCGAGGGTGTCGACGATGGCGGCCGTGGCGGAGCTACAGTCGGAGCCAAGAGCAGACAGGACCACTCCAAGTCTGAAAACGCGAAGCGATCCAAGTTTGGAAACTACATCCTCGGTCAGACGCTTGGTGAGGGTGAGTTTGGCAAGGTCAAGATGGGCTGGAAACGAGACAGTTCGGTCGAAGTTGCCATCAAGCTCATACGGCGAGAGACGCTTGGAAGCAACTCGAACCGTCTGCAAAAGATATACCGTGAAATTCATATCCTACGCGGCTTGGACCACCCCAACATCGTGCGCCTGCACGAGATGGTTGAGACCGAGCGTCACATCGGCATCATTCTGGAGTATGCTTCAGGCGGAGAACTCTTCGACTACATCCTAAATCATCGCTACCTGAAGGACGGTCCGGCAAGGAAGCTATTCTCACAACTCATATCTGGTGTTGGATATCTCCACCGCAAGGGTATCGTGCATCGAGATTTGAAGCTCGAGAACCTGCTGCTCGACCGTAATAAGAACATCATCATCACCGATTTCGGTTTCGCAAACACCTTCGACCCCAACGACGAGCTCAGCGAGGAGATTGAGTACAGACTGGGAGATAAGGACTACATAAGATCCCTGGGATTGGAAGGAACCGATGCAGCTCGAAGAGGTGATCTTATGCAGACCAGCTGCGGAAGTCCCTGTTACGCTGCGCCTGAATTGGTTGTTAGTGATTCACTTTACACTGGACGCAAAGTGGATGTCTGGAGTTGTGGTGTCATCTTGGTAAGTTTATTCAAGCATACATTTACACACAAACATGCACACACATTCTAATCTCATACAGTATGCCATGTTGGCTGGCTACCTACCTTTCGATGACGATCCAGCGAACCCCGAGGGTGACAACATCAACTTGCTCTACAAGTACATTGTATCCACGCCGTTGACCTTCCCCGAATACGTCACACCACACGCGAGAGACTTGCTGAAACGCATCCTTGTACCGGACCCACGTAAACGGGCGGACTTGTTTGAAGTTGCGCGTCACAGCTGGTTAGCTGACTACGCGCACGTTGTCGGCTTCATCACCTCAAGCAACACCAATGCGGCCGATGCTCAACAGGCATCTGTCTATTCAAGTAAGCTTTCGTGTTCATGTGTAAGTAGGCATACATGTGCTGACATAGCCACAGAAGACACATTCGAGCCGCAGCCTTCACTCGCCAGAAGCGCCTCTGTTCGCGAACCGACGAAGCCACATACGGCACCGACTGCGCCTGGCGGCCTCCAGACGAAGCGCGATGCGATCAACCAGGCACCCTCCGAGAAGCCAAAGACCACCCGCGATACCAAGCGACGAACCGTGCAAGTCGAGTATGTCGCGCCATCCTCGCAAACCGCTCGCGGCGAGGCATCCCCTCCAGTCGAAACAACTCCGAAGGCACGCGGTAAAGAGGCGGAAGTACCTCCTACGGACGGATACCAGTCAGCCACGAGCGCCAAACCTCCTCGTTCTTCTGGCGCAGTTTACAACTCGAACAACAGAAGACAAGAACCTCAACGATCTGTTTCCGATTACACCGCATTCGGCAATGCACCTCCATCAGCTACGCGCCCATCTACTGGTGGTGCCATAGGCACATCGAGAATACCGTCGCGAGGAAACTCTTACGGACAACCATCTGTAGCGACAGTGGCCCAGACCACAGCAGAAGGACGGTTCTCGCAACCAAAGGGTAAACAATACTCAATCTCGGCCCCTTACGCACAGCAGGAGACTTCTGATGCGGCGGAGCCACCCAACATTGGCCAGTCGAGCTCTCAGCGAGTACAGTCCATACAAGTCGGTGGGCCACATGGCGGAGTTGGTGGTCACAGGAGGTCTAACACGGTTTCTTCCACTCTTGGCCGCATGACATCCATGTTTTCCGGCCGCCAGCCTTCTTACACCCAGGATCCCAAGGAGTCTTTTACATCCACAGGATCCTATGGCGGTTATCCCGAGGAGAAGAAGCAGAAGAGCTACCCTCCCACATCCATGGCCGGACCCATGTCCAACGAGGCAGTTTCTTTATCAGCTGGACCCAGAGCGAGCATGGAATCTAGCCGACGCACTTCCTTTGGCTTCTCCAGAAAAAACACAGGTGGCTCTGGCGAGAACCCGAAAGGCAGTCGTCGCTTCTCACTTCTTCCGTCTTCACTCTCGAAGACCTTCTCTTCTGGACGGGAAAGTATGCCAGCTCAAGGCTCCCACGAGCGACGCGGCTCCAGTGCTCGTCCTCGCGCTAGCTCGCGCCCTGGCGGGATGGCTTTCGGTCGCGGTTCGGAATCCAGGTCTCCTAGTCAGAGCACCCAAGGAAGCAAATTGCCCGGTTTTTACGATGGCCAGCATGACAGCAACTCTAGGATAAGACAGCCTAACACGAGCGCCGCTGGGCCCTCATCAGCGCCACCAAACCAGACCCAGTTTGCTGGCTACAACCACTCACAACCCGAGTTTGACGAGAAGTTCCCTAACCCGCAAGGAACTCATCCATCTGCCCAAGGAAACCGCCCCTACCGCCACCCCACTGACGATTCAGAAGCCGATATGACACAGTCACAGCAGTTCAGCCAAAGGACCCCATCAAACCCTTACCCAGCAGGCATGGGTGGTGATGAGTTGAACCAGCAGCAGAGAAAGGGCGTGCTACAAAAGAGTAGGCGCTTTGCAGACGCATACGACGAACAAGGCACTGGTAACAAGGGAAGCTCGGGTAGCTCTAAGAAGGTTATGGACTTCTTCCGGCGCATGGGCAAGCAGAGAACCAGCAGCCGATAAAGTGCTAGACGTGAAGAAGGATAATCGCAGAGGTTGTCTTGGAAAGAGTGAGCCACAGCAGGACGGGTGGCCGGGCCAGATGGGTGTTTGGAACGATTTGGTTGTCTGACCTTGGTTGTGGTGTTTGGGAGCATATCGGCGCATTCTTTCCACTCTCCTTTCCTCTCTCTCTCTCTCTCTCTCTCTCTCTCTCTCTCCCTTCCATTCCCACCCTCACAACTCGTTGTCTCTTCGTTCTTGATTGTGCTTGCTGGATACCACATATTCACGCACATGTCGGCTCTGTTTGTTTTTTTCATCATCAGCGTGCGGCATGCTGAGGTAATTATTGCATTAGGAGGCGTTTTTATTTCCTTTTTTCTTCTGACATTGGATCGGCAACGAAGATTGTTTGGGTTTTACGTTGCCAGGTTAATCTTTACTCTCTCAACTCCCTCTCCTTTCTTGTAGGAAGAGATTGAGGATGATTGTTCAAGTGTAGTCGTAGTTGTAGTGTAGTATACAAGGGCTTTGGGCGATGGCGGTGGGAAGTGGAATTGATATGTTGGAATGTTCGATTTTTTTGACAATGCATCCGTAAGAGGTTCAATGTGCTTGATGTGTTGGTGTTGCACTACTTGCCGCATGTGTGTAGAGTAACATCGACTCGCGTAATTATGCAAAACATATTTTGTATTGGCATGTGGCTTTGCCTTTGTATAGCTGACGTCTGAGCACAATGGTAAACTAGGCTGTGATATATATCTTAACATGGTAGACCATATCCGACTCTTCGAGGATGTAGTTGACATCTACTCGAAGTAGTCACAGCAATCTGTTATTAATGGGTAGCAGAACAAGGTCACCAATGTCAACTAAGCATTAAAACAAGACTATTTCACCGAAACGATCAAATTCAACTCGACTTCAACAAATCCGACCCTTTCTATATAACCCGACTCAATAACCCAGGATATCAATTGTCCCGTTCTATGCCCAACTCTGAACAAGAAAAGACCCTGGCAAATGTTGCAGTTCCGCTACTGACCAAACACACAAATCGCCCAGTAGAATCGTAGAAGCGCGTCTATGAAGGAGGAAGCTGACCGCCCTCCTTGGTCTTACCCACGGGAGGGTTGGGCTTGGTGCCACCCGCCGAGTTCAACGAACTCAAGTAGCAATTCCAGCCCAATGAGATGACGTTGACAACCAATACCCTCATCTCCGCGGGTACGTATTTGAAGTTGGTGAACTGGACCCAAGGCCACACCATCAAATTCTTCTGGTAACCGGGTAGGTACGCGTCCTTGAGACGCTGCACTGGCGAGTTTCCTTCCATGTAAGCCATGGTGGACAGGAAGAGAGCCATGTTGCAGGGTGCGAAGAGGAATTGATCACAGGCTACGCGCGCGACAATTGTGCCGTTTGTAGATTTGAGGTTTACGCGCTTGACGAGGAAGTCGAACCACTTTGTTGCTGCGGGGCCGAAGATACCTGGGGGAGGGTTAGTTTGGGGAATGGCCGGAGTGGGGATGTGGGGATTTGAGTAGCGATAGGGGGATAAAAGGAGAGCCAAGACGTACATCCTCCGTAGGCGGCCATGCGTCCTGTACGTGCGAGATCGTGCTTATCGAGTCCACGACGTTCTACACCCTGCTGTGCCATTGTGTCGCCGGTTGCGAAGAGTACCTGTCGCGCGTCATGTCAGTCTCCTGTCAATCTGCATTGCAACTGCTCAATCCCTCCTATATCCTCGTTTCGGCTCGGGTTTGGTGCTTATCGACACGCTCGTTGGCCATGTATCGAGTCGCATTGCGTTGCGCAGGAAGGAGACTAGGGATCGCAATTCAAAGCGAAAGGTCTGCATACCGCCGTAGTAATACTCTGCGTCAAGTAGGGAGAAGTCCTAAGCTTCGCTTGGTACCTATCTTTGGTGTCAGTATCATCTGCTCCTAAACTCTCGTGGTCTTCCACCGCTCTCACACTTACCAGCGAAACGCCATTTTGTCGGTGATTAAACTTCTATATTCTCAGCAATTGAGATAGACGACCAATATATATGCGCCTGAGAGCGAGCGACACACCGCTTTAAAAAGGGCAGAAGAGTGGAGAAGTGTGTGTGTGAGAGAAAAAGAAAGTCGAGTAAGTCCAGCGAGATAGTTTGGTGAGCTTGCGGGACCTATGATGTCGTTAGTGCAGCAGGGTCCGCGCCGCACATGGCGGTCGGGGAGCTTAGCTTTGTACCCCTTGATCCCGACTCGTGTCTCGACCATGAACACAAGTCATTATGCAGGTAGACGCAGCTTACTATTCAGTTGCACAAACTTAATATAGATACGGTCTATTGGTAAAACGGAGTAAAAGTTCATAATGAGATTCAATTCAATTCCGAGCTCGTCTGTTCATGGTGGGGTATAATATGATCAGACACCTAGTTACAAAAAGGACCGACAGTTGTTGTACAAAGGGTCGTTAAATGAAGAAAAAGGAAACAATCAATGCGGGTTGGTATAACTCCTCGTACGTGATGCCACATTGCAATCCGTCTCGTCTTCAACCTGATGTCTCCGCATATAGCCCAAAAAGAATCCCTAGATGAAAGAACGCCAGTCCCGCTGATCTCATCCGGGTATGATCAAGCTATGCTCGCAGAAAGCAGGTATCCAAGAAGTCATGTCGTAAATTTTGTGTAGATGGGTATGAAAAAGGTCGACTAGTCGATTTCCATCCGTTGTGATGGCGCAGGTCCGCTCAGTGACGGCATTTCTGTATTGTATGTCTTGTCGCTCTGCACAATCTTGTCGTTGACATGAGGCTTCAGGCCCTTGTTGAAGTTGTGGGTGCACAAGCATGCTGTAACAATGGTGATGATGAGCAAGAGGATTGTGAGAATGGCAAAGGCAGTCAGCGACTTGCGGGCTGGCTTGTAGTCCTCCTGGCGGTTTGCATCGGCGACCCACATTCGGATGAGCTTGAACAAGAAGTAGCCCAAGGCAATGAAGTAGACGACGATAATGCCGATCATACCAGCAACAGACTCGCGGCGGACCCACCACGCGGCAAGGAACAAAAGAAAGAAAGTGATAACGAGGGCGGCAGCGGTGAGGATCAGTTCAACGGTCTTTGTGTTTTTGACGACGACCAGAAACTGGACGGTGAAGGCCAGAAAGAAGAAGAAGTCAAACTTGAGGAGGGCGATGTAAATCTATGTCGTAGTCAGTAGGGCGGACTTGGATGAGAGATGGTAGGCAGTACCTGGTAGGTCAAATAGCGCCTCTTCAGTCTAGTGTCGGCACTGATGCGCTTGTAGATGGTCCAAGCGAACTCATCGTACAGCTTCCATGCCTCAAAAGCAAAAATGACGGTAGCGACCGCCATAAGAACGGGTAGGGCGATGAGCATGGGCTTGACGTCTTCCCAGAAATCCTTGGGAATGAAGCGGCGCGTGTTTAGGTCGTCAGCAGCGTCCTTGATCTGGTCGAATTGAATGGCGGCATAGACGAGAATGCCGATGTTGTACAGGACGAGTCCAATGACCTGAATGGTGTTCTTCATGCGCAGAGCATCCCAGGTGAGGAATAATTGGTAGATGTAGCCGAACATGAAGACGGCGAGGAAGGTGGGAATGGTGCGGGTTTCGTTGGCGCCAGCACCTTCGGCAGCGAAATGGATCTCATTCTGGAACTTGCTGAAGACGTACGACTCGAGGGCGAGGGCGATGCCGACCTGGCAGATGGCCGTGAGCATGAAAGCCCAGGTCCAGCGCGTGTTGGGAATGTACATCCTCGGCGGGCGTCGTACGACGGGTGGAAGGGTGGTGGGGAAGCCTTCGCGGTGGTGATACCCCCCAGGTTGGGTATCGAAGGGCTGCGGTTGGTATGGCGGTGGATACGTCGTGGTGGGATAGGGCGCGTAGTTGTGGTCGAGGGGTTGGCCTCCTAGGAGGGATGTGCGGGCCTCGTGGTGAGTAATTTTGGCTATGTTGGCAGCCGCGATGGGCGGCTGGAGCGTGGGGATATAGAGACGGGCGGTTGTGCGGGCTTGCTTTTGCGGCGCAGACACAGACAAACTGCGACCTGTGTCGGCTTGGGGTTTGTAGGGCTGCCGGGGTGGGTGAGACAACGGATGGGCGGTGGGAGGAATGCTGAAACCAGAGGAGTCGCTGCGTTCGGGGGACTGAGACTACTGAGAGAGCGCGCGTCTCTGAAACTAGTATCTTGGCTATGCGGAGAGGCCGAAGAAGCAACAGCGAAAAGGACGGAGCGGAGTGTGGGGGAGGATGTCGTGGTGCAGGCGCGATGGCGATGGTCGACGACAGCAGTAGCGAGCGGCAAAGTGGAAAGTGGTCGTGTTGTGGGAAGAGAGCAGGCGGAGATGGGTGCCGTGGGTGGATGCTGAGGTGCCTGGCCTGGTGCGCAAAGTAGCGCTGGTGCTGGGACAGCCCCGGCCGGTGTGGAGAAAGGCTGAAGGGGGTCTCGCCGTAAGACCCGCCCGCTGCTCCGTGTTTACCTCTGCTGCGATGGGAGCACCTAGTCGGAGCGTGTTCGCATGCCACTTTTCCGTGCGTAGTGTGCAAATACGAACAAGAGAGAGAGAGAATGCGCACGTCGTGCACGCTGCCGGCTACAAGTAGAGAAAGGAATGGCATGACCCTCTCAGCTGCCTGTCCTTGGCTTCAGCACCTGTCGAACCACAAACCACATGCACCGCCCCCAGCGTTGCTGAGCAGCCTGCCTCGCCCGCGCCCATTGGCCAGCCACCGCTAATTATAGTTTGCGCATGTGTGGCGCAGGCCTTGGATTACCACGGTGCAGTGGAGCGACAATCTACCGTCATCCTGCGCGATTCCGACAGCTGCTCCGGTCAATTGTTTCGACCAATCACACGCCCATATCTGACATCATTAAGGACGCGTAGTGCACAGGGTCGCCGTTTCGACTGTCCCCATTATCGGCCCGCGAAAAGCAGCGGTATCGCGAGTCGCGCTTCTGACCGCACCACCAACACCACGCGCTGCAGCC